TAGGGACTCCGATATACACGATATAGCGATTTCTGATCACTCCCCGATTTCAGTCTCCATTCAGCAGGCACAACATAATCATCGTTCGCGCACTTGGCGTTTCCCGTCCTTCCTAGCGAACAATCGGGACCTACTCTGGGCTTTGAACACTGCCTGGGATGAGTTCTGCGACACAAACGCACAACATCGAACAAACCCTAACTTCTCTTGGGAGACAGGCAAGGCGGTCCTACGAGGTCGAATCATAGCGTTCACTTCCACGTATAAGAAAAATCTTCTTCGTAACTACACAACAGCGAGCCTGCGTCTCCAACAGGCACAGAGGGACATGGCAAGTCTCAACTCCCATGAAAATAGGAAAGCATGGGCGGAGGCCAAGCAACATTTTGACACTTGGGCAGCGGCCCAGGAAGCCGTGCATAAATCGCATATTGACCTCCGTTACCATAAATTCGGCAATAAACCGGGCAAGCTGCTAGCTAGGCTCTGCAAAAAACCGTTCACTCCCACTCTCATTACAGCGTTGAAAGATGCACAGGGAATGTTGCAAGGCGACCCCTTAGATATTATTTCCATTTTAGAAAATTTCTACCAAAACCTGTACGGCTCGGACCCAATAGACACTAGCAAAGCCACCTCTTTTCTGGACCCATCCAGCTGCCACAGATAGATTCTGCTACACTCCAAGCTTTGAATGCTCCCATCACTCAGTCAGATATATCCCAAGCTATAAAATCGCTCACGACTGGTAAAGCCCCGGGACCTGATGGCTACACAGCCGAGTTTTACAAACTCATGTCTGATACTCTTTCCCCTACATTGCAATCGGTTTTTCAAGGTATTCAGTTGGGAGGGAACTATCTCCCCTCAGGTCTTCAAGCACATATCAAACTGATTGCAAAAAAAGACAAAGATCCGATGGAACCGGGTTCATATCGGCCGATATCCTTGCTAAACCTCGACGCGAAACTCATGTCCAAAATTATAGCATCACGCCTTGCAACAATATTGCCAGATCTCATTCATCCCTCACAAGCTGGATTTGTGCAGGGGCGCTCGGCAACGTCGATATCCGCAAAGTGATCTCTGTTTTGAGCCAAACCTCGACCGGCACACCCCATGATGCGGTTATCATTTCCTTAGACGCCGAAAAGGCATTCGATAACGTTAACTTCGAATGGCTTTTCTTAACATTACGGAGATTTGGATTTGATGGTTCTTTTCTACATGTGATTCAAGCCATGTATTCATCCCCTTCAGCCCAAGTTATTGCAGCGGGTCACATATCCAATCCCATCGCGCTTCACAAAGGCACTAGACAGGGATGCCCGCTTTCCCCGTTACTTTTTAACTTGGCTCTGGAACCTCTAGCACGATTCTTATTATTTCATTCAAACCTTCATGGCATCACCATTGGGGATCGGGAGTTGAGACTTGCCCTGTTCGCTGATGACATTTTAATTTTTACCTCGCACCCGTCCCTCGACTTACCCTATATTCAACATATTTTTTCTTCCTTCCGCTTTTGTTCAGGGCTTCGCATAAATTTCTCTAAAAGTGAGGTGCTTCCGCTATTCCACGCGCGCCCCCCGAAATGGTCGCAGACTTCAGTATTCAAAATCGCTAACAGGTGTATCACTTATCTAGGCATTAAGATAGGGAAGTCCGCTTCGCCTCTGTACACACTAAACTACACACCTGTCCTTGCTAAAAATTATTGGGGAGTTGGAAATGTGGAAGGATTTACCATTGTCTCTTTTGGGGGAGATCTCACCTCTTTAAGATGGTGTGCTTCCCAAAACTTCTTTACCCACTTCAAACCATACCCCTTCTACTACGACATAGTGACATAACGAGATTGAATCAGGCAATTTCCAATTTTCTTTGGAAAGGCAAACGTCCTCGCATAGCACTTGCCAAACTATTTCTACCACGTAGTGAGGGAGGCTCTGGCCTTCCAAATGTTCGAGCTTACAACCTGTCATGTCTTCTACGTATAAGTCTGGACTGGCTCACCCACTCCTCCCAGTACTCTGATTTCCGCATTGAATCGGCCCTAGCATGCCCTTATGACTCTCGGCCCTCTTGCACTCCAATGTTAATTCCTTGCCAGCGCATCTAAAACATAACACACTCTTTCGTGACACCCTTATCACTTGGAGGGAGGTCAGGTGCAAATTGGGGGTTTCTCCGTGGCTCTCTTGCTTTCTCCCTATTCATCGTAATCCTTCATTTACCCCTCCGCAATTACATGATGCCTATGGTACCTGGACAGCTCAGAATTTAACCCTGATACAACACCTCTACGATACTTCAACGGGTACACCGAAACCTCTCAACAGCATCCTTCAAACTTATGGACTACCAGCACACCACTTCTTCTACATTCTTCAAGTAAGAAACTTTGTCAACTCCGTTGTGCCTAATAAAGCAATTAGATTTCAGTCGACGTTTATTGATGTCTTGGCAAACTCTCGAAAATATAAAATAGCAAACATCTACAGACCTCTAAACCTTCTGTGCGCCAAACCTTTTGAATCCTTCAATGCAGTGAAATCCTGGATCAAGGCGTTCGATAATAGCTTGACGGCGGAACAGCTGCTCTCAGGCTTTAACTCCACCTGTGCCTTCAACCACAACGAATTTTGGCGTGAGCAACAGCTAAAGAATTCTTCACCGTGCCTATATGCCATGCATCTACTCTAAAAACGATCCGGCTCTCTCAGTCTGCCCTCTATGCGGTAGTCAATCTCCGTCATTAAAACACAGACTCTGGCTTTGTCCAGCCATTGCGGCATTCTGGAAACAAGTGGTTAACTTCATACATGTCATTACTTCTTTCCGATTACCTATCCACCCGTTACCACTCCTCTTTGGCTTCCTGGAACAACCGGTCCTTGGCCTCTTCTCATCTCAAACGTCGTCCTTCAGGAACAACAAAGCCTGGATATCCTCATGTCTACTTATAGCAAGACGGGCTATTCTTCGGAAGTGGATCTCCAACTGCCTTCCATCCTTGGCTGACATTAAGCAGGAACTCAACTTCCTTCTACGTCTTGACAAACTAAATTTAATAATGTCTCCGACTTCCTCTAAGGAGTCTCAATACCTAGGCAAATGGACTTCCTATATCACAGGTTCTCTATCCGTACGTGAACAGGCATTCTTTCTTCAAGATCCATGTTGCTCGAACCGCCCAATGTATCAGTCTGTAAACTCGTCGGCATTGGGTCATTCATCTTTTTGATTAGGTTATACCGTTTTTGCATTGCTAAACTGTATATGGTACATTGTTTTTCTCCACTGTTCTCCTCCTCTTTATCCATAGGCCCACTTATGTTATCTGGAATGTGAACTCTCCGAGATATCTCTTGTGACGGAACCCACAAGTCCTGATTTTCTGCCTCCATTTTCCTTTCTGTAGCTTCTCTACTACTTTTTTTCTTTTTCATTCTGGTCGGACAGGTCCCCGGGTAACCCTCCACTCTCCCCCTTATTCCTTTAACCTAGCAATCGCATTCACCTATTATTTTTATTTTTTTATTTTTTCATACCAGTTCTCATTCATACCACCTATTCTGATTGCTTTCTCTGCTCACGATTCTTCCCCCCCTATACATTTATCTTCACTCTCCAACTTTCCTATTCTTTTATACACTCCCAATTCTTACATCCTCGGGTCTTTTTCTTTTTTTTTTTTTTTCTGATCCTTCCTCGACATGATAATGTTGGGCAAATTCACTCGGCCTGTGTCACCTCTGTTTTATATAAGAGCTACGCACTCATCACTCTCACGTATTCTTTTTCCGTCACCTACTTATGCAAGCTCTATTCTCCAGCATCCTCAAACGTCTCTCATGTCTGCTTCTATTTCTTTAAGTTTGTGCTATTTGCCATCAGCTAACCTTTATGACTCGATACATTTGATGTAATATTCATGTCATAACTGCCTCATCATTTTGACTTTTCCTACCTTGTCTTTTCTTGTTTAAACCTTAATAAATTTTCTTGAAAAAAAAAAAAAAAGGACCCTTTCCCCTTCGGGATGTTTTTCTTTAAGATTTTTGCTTGATAAAAGCCCCTCCCACCCCACCGAGCCCCCCCCCCCCCCCCCCCCCATGGCAATGCCCATTCCCTTTTGACAATAACTTGCCTATTAGTCTTGAAAGTAAAGCTAAATGTATTATTTATTTCAGGTACTTATATAGCTCCATCAATTTACGCAGCACTTTATATATATATATATATATACTGTACATTCACATCAGTCCCTAACCCTCAAGGGGTGTACAATCTAAGGTCCCTAACTCACATTCATACATACACATACTAGGGACAATGCAGACCAGGGGTGGGACTGACAACTCATGGGGCCCCCGGGCAATAGGGGATCATGGGGCCCCTGTGTCCTTGCCCAAACTCAAAAAAAGCCTATGAAAAAGGTACCAGGGGCATCTCATGGGGCCCCCGGACAATAGGGGATCATGGGGCCCCTGTGTTCATGCCCAAACTCAAAAAAGCCTATGAAAAAGGTACCAGGGGCATCTCATGGGCCCCCTACTGCCCCCGGGCCCTCGGGAAGTGCCCGAGTTTCCAAATGGTCAGTCCGCCCCTGATGCAGACAGGAGCCAATTCACCTACCAGCATGTCTTTGGAGTGTCGGAGGAAACCGGAGTACCTGGAGGAAACCCACACAGGCACAGGGAGAACATGCATGCAAACCCCAGGCAGGTGGTGCTCTGGCTGGGATAAATTAGTATTAAAATTAATTTAACAACCCCCTCCCCCCCACACACACACCCACCCACCCACACACACACACATAGACTTGATTTACTGTAAAATTCCAGTCTCCTGAATTTCAAACAGGATTAACTAACCACCCAGATTCACCCATCCCTAGCTGGCATGATATACAGTATTGGAGGTAGGTGACATGTTTGAATTCTCAGTGAGGAAAATGAGTGAAATCACTTTTGCTCATCATTTCATGGACTCACCTCCAGAAGATGTTGTACCCCAGCCGGTCACCCAGCACTCCATACCACAGGGGAAGGTGGTGGTGGAAGATGGCAGACAGATCGGCATGATGTACCGAGTATAGTTGACAGGTGAGGCCAGCCGTATCAGGGCGATGTCTCCAATATCTCCGGTGCTTACATAATTAGGATTGGTAATGATGGTCCTTACATTGGCAACAACTGTTTGAAGGTTAATCTCACCCAGCCTGTACAAGCCCAAATACACTTTATAATTCGATACGTGGGTAGAACTGTAGAGAGAAAACAATACAGAAAATGTATAACTGAGGACCCATCTGATGCAGTGCAGTGGAAAATGATCAGCAACGAATTTCAGATTCAAATGGAGAGCCAACATATTCATAAATAGTTTTTATGAATGGCCTGTATGTACACAAGACCAATGTTATGAATACACGTAGGGCCATTAGCGTTCCTTGTGATGCTAACTCACTGTAATCTATTTTGTTATCTCAGAATGTAACTGCATGTAAACATGTGTGAGCAAAATATTCAAATGTGTTAACATGGATGACAGGAGGAGAGAGCAGAGTGACTGAGAGATGAGCTCACCACTGTGCTGCTTCTCCTTCATTGTTCAGTCACAGGCTTGAGGCGGGTCCATGACCCTCCTCAAGGTCACCTACCCTCCTCACCTTTAGGCGCACCCTGAAAACCCATCTCTTCAGGGAAGCCTACCCCACCCTCACCTAACTGCTGATCTCCTCCGCTTTCCCACCACTCCATCCCCCACAGCTTTTCCTCCTGTACCACTATCCCCTCCCTCCTAGACTGTAAGCTCCAAGGAGCAGGGCCCTCGAACCCCTCGTGTATTGTATTGTTACTGTACTGTGGCATGTATTGTCCCCCACCGTAATGTACAGCGCTGAGCAAACTGTTGGCTCTATATAAATACTGTGTAATAATAATAAAAATAATAATGACAGCCAAGGCTCCGAGGAGCTGGGGTGATTGAGACCGACCTTCATTTAACCCAGAAGACTGAGTACATCTAGTGACAGAAAGAAGGTTCTGTGGGGGACAACTCTGGGCTGAAGGTGAGTATTGCAGACAAAGCTGCCCTTTTTTTTATCCTTTAATGGGCTGTTACTTTTTTTTTTATGGCGTTCTGATTAAATTAATGTTTTTATTTATAGATTACATATTTTGGTATATTTTATATTTTAATAGAAACTTTGCACTTTTACAGACAAAGCATGCAACCAGTTTTAAAAGTGCAACTGTTTCTATTTTAAACCCCATTTTTTTCTTTTTTTACTCAAACAAGGACGAGTTGAGATAGTTTTAGCTTACATTAGGTCACCTCTTTTTAAATAAAGAATCAAGGAAAAGTTAGTATAAATGTATCTGTTGGCTTTACCATGATCTGTTATATAGTAACAATTTGAATGTTTACAAAACTGTTTAACCCCCTTACACCAGTGAGAAGCGGTGCTTTAAGTGGGCCTTAAAGCCCAAGGCTAGAGGGAGGGGCTTTGATCAAGCGACACTGTTATTGGCTGCACAGTGCTGATGTCATCAGGAGCCTGTCCCATAAAACCAAGGGTGTATTTACCACAAGGCAAACAAGGCATTTGCCTGGGGTGGCATTTTTCAGGGGGGGCAGTACTGCTGCTTAGAAGAAGGGATGGAAGAAGGGACACACGTGGCATGGGGACCTAGTGGGTTTCGAGAGATGCTGCGGTCTGCTTGATGTTGTATGCACAGCCCGACTCTCATTCCTGGTGAGAGTGTCTTTCTCTCTCTTGCCATGGGGGATGGTGGCTGGTGTATGGGAGGCAGTGGTAGTAGAAGGCTCGGGTGGAGGGCAAGGGTGTTCTTGGTCAATATCAGGCTCTTTCTGTGGGGGGCGCCAATTTTGTGTTGCCTAGGGCAGCACAAAACCTAAATACACCACTGCATAAAACTGAGAACATCAGACTTAGGCTGGCCATCGGTTCGAATCTCAGATGGTTGACCAGGAACCGGACAAGATTCAAATCATGTATGGGCAGGCTGAATGTACCCAAGTTGATCGATTGACTTGGGTACAACCAGCCAACCAGCCTGCCAGATTGTACATATGATTATAGCTAGTAGTTGGTATAGCCGCTAACAATAATCACTGTCCTCTCCCAATCGGGATGGCTTCCCCCTCTGGAAGAATACAATGGTTCAGCTGCAGGGATTCCTCTATCAACACTAACTGGGTTGATGGGGGAATCAAACAAATTTCTTTCCTGCAATCTATTGTTGCAGGAAAGAATTAGTTCCGTGTGTGGCCTGCCTTATGCACAATAGATTATCTTATTTGATCATTTGCTTCGACATCGCATGATTTTTTTAATCTATCCACTAACATACTGGGGCATTTTAATAGTTTTTTCACATAAATGTTAAAATTTGCATTTGTTTTGCTAAAAAGTTCCTAGAACCTCTAAACTATATATTTTCTGAAATCAGAGGCCCTGGAGAATAAAATGGTCGTTGTTGCAATTTTTATGTCACACAAAATTTGTGTGCCTGTTAATCAAATGCAAACTTTCAGAAAAAATATACTTCAGTTAAGGCACACAAACATAATATAATACCTAAAATGCAAAATATGATATTTTGTTGAGTAAATAGATACCAACCATGTCAAGATTTAAAATTGCCTGTGAAATGACAACTAATGTCAGTACCTAAAATTGTCCAAAGGAGATGCATTCAAAGCCTTCACAGGTTACCAGTCTTGAGTTACATAGGAAGCCTGGTGCTAGAATCATTGCTCTGACTTTGACTTTCATGGCGATGCCTCAAATGTGTGGTGCCATCACTGTCTACATAAGTGTGCCTGACCTATGTGCGTGTTTGCATTTGCATGTGATCACAGGGGAACAGGGGTGTGACAAATGCAGTGTCAGACCCCGGCCACCTTAACCAGCTTGTGCCTGGTCAAACTCACAACTTGCTGGCAATGATATTTAACAATTGAACTCTCAACCTTACCCTGCACCAGGTTTTTCATCTCACAGGACCACAATCAAAGTACCAGCAGACTGAGAACTGTAACTGGATATGATTAAGTATGCAATTAGCCCCTTATACCCCATATGCAGGGGAACCCCGGACATAAATCTAGCCTCCTACCTCAACAGAAAGGTGACATGGTTTGTGGCCAGAGCGCAGGACCTCCTGGCTGATGCAGCAGATGCAATGGTGGCACAATGGGACCAGTATTGTCTCATTTACACCTTACTCCTCTCAAGCTGCTACTTCACCTCCTGTTCAGAGGCCAAAGGGATTGCGGTCATTCTGGTAGCTCTAGACTGGCCTCGTCGTCTATGGTATGCTGACATACTGTGGCTGGTCATGGATGCTCCCTGATGGTTGTCTCTTTTGGGAAGACCACTCTCTCAGGGTTTGGTCTACCACCTTGCTTTACCATCTCTGGCTTTGACAGCATGGCTATTGAAAGACAAGTTTTGAGGGACAGGGGGTTGTCAGGATTGGTGATTCCCACAATGTTGAAGGCCCGCAAGTGTACCTCTCAAAAGATATACCATTGAGCCTGGAAGGTTTATATTGCTTGCTGCAAGGCTCCATCCACTTTGCTTTTCGATGGCTTGGGTGTTGGCCTTTCTCTAATGGGGAGTGTTCAACAAACATTTGCTGTGAATACCATTAGGGGTCAAGTTTCTGCCTTTTCTGTCTTTTTCAGTGTCCATGGGCCATGCACTGCCTGATTTGCACCTTTATTCAAGGGATTCATTGTTTGGTGCCCCCCATGCAATCCCCATTAACCCCATGGGACTTTAATTTGGTTCTTTCGGTTCTTCAAGAGCCTTCCTTTTAAAATATTTGGGATATTCCCCTGCTCAATTTTTCTGAAAAAGTTGCCTTCTTGGTTGCCATCACTTCCACAAGATCGGTGACAGAGCTGGCGGCCTTATCTTGTAAGCCTCCCTATTTGATCCTATACAAGGATAAGGTGGTTCTCCATCTATGCCCCTCCTTTCTTTCAAAGGTTATGTTATGTTTTCACCTAAATGAGGACGTTGTCCTGCCTTCTTTGTATCCACAGCCGTCACATCCTAGGAAGATTACGGGGCACTCTTTGGATTTGGTCCAGGCAGATCGTGTGTACCTGTCCGCTATGGTCTCCTGCCAGAGGTTAGACGCTCTTTTTATGCTCAAAGAAGGCTCAATGAAAGTCCTGATGGCCTCCTTTGTCACTATTTCCCACTGCATTCAGCAGACAATGCCTGTTCAGGCATACACTAATAAGAGGTGGACTCTTCCCTTCCCATTACGGCACACCTAACAAGGGCGAATAGTGCCTCCTGGGCTTTCTGGCATCAGGCACTGTGTCTTCGGTTTGCTAGGCATCCACCTGGTCATCTGTGTACACATTTACAAGATTAGAGTGGATGTGTTTGCATCTTCAGATGATTGTTTTGGCTGCAAGGTTTTGCTAACGGCTGTTTTTGGTTCCTTGCTCTTTTTTAGCATAATACTCCATCAACCAAATAATAAACCATCCATCAAAATTGTTAAATCATGCATCAACCAATATGTCTAATCATATATCCAAAAGCCCAAAGGTTTCTTGTTTGACCATTTAGGGGTTGTTTGGATGGTCGGCATGTTTGCCTGGTTGCACGAGTCATTTTTGGTCTGCCCACCGCTCATTCATGCACTGCTTTGGGACATCCCTATGGTCAAGATTTAGCTGAGCTGTGTCCTTCAATGAATGTATAGAAAACAGGATTTTTTTTTTTACTCATTGTAAAATCCCTTTCTCTCTGAGTTCATTGACGGGCACAGCACCCACCCTTCTATTGGAGTTTACACTTCTGACACTGCTTTGTTATGAACTGGATTGTCTACAGACAAGAGGGGTTTTTATACCAGAGGGACTGTCCATAGGTGTTGTTGTGATCTTTTCTGCCTAGTGTCCTACTCCTGTAGGTGGCGCTATAAAACTCTATGGCGAAGATTCAGAAGAGTGTCCATCAATGAATTCAGAAAAAAGGGAAAAAACCCTGTTATTTATGACTTTATCAAATCTATGTTTATTAGTTATCTGCTAAGAAATGGAATAGCAGAATGGTTTCTGTAATTCTGAAGTCCTTTTGAAGTGTTTAGGCTCTTATCAAACTGTTTCCTCAGTTGAATGACAATGGAGAGACGCACTCTTGAGATTTTAGCTAGTTCTGAAAGGGAAATCACAGTTGTTTTGTCTATTATTTTAAAAATTGTCGTGTCTGACCTGTGAATCGTGTACAACATGACTGCCCTGGCCCCCTCACACAGCTTTTTTTGAGGTGCCAAGTGTACATTATTATCACACAGAGTGTGCTGTATATTTTTTTGTATTTATATATTTTTTAAAAATGTTTTGCTCTTTTTTTTCATTTAACTTTATCACTATCACAAAGGGGTGAACAAGCCTCTTTGTGATAGCTTTGGGCCATGACAGGTACTCTTTTTTGGAGGCATTCGACCCCTCATGTCAACCCTGTGTTCCAAGGCAGCTGGTAAAACACAGTTTTAAAGTGGACACTTTATAAAAGATAAACACTGTATCAGTAAACATGTACATGATTGATTTTTAGAAATATATATTTTTTCCAAAAACAGAATGATTGATGCCTGATGGAAGAATTTGTGTAAAAAGGTAACATGTCATACTCACTATTTAAAGCAATGCTTTGCAGTCAGAACCCACTCTGGTGAGATCAGGGAGCCCCCACATAAATGTGATCCTAAAAGTTCAGACTGATCTGCCATGGCCATGTTCCAGCCAACGCATCTGTACCACCAACTATCCGATTGGGCACCACAGGGGAACCGCACACTGAAGAATCTCCAGCACCAAAAACATTGTGCGCTGAAATAAGCAAAAAAAAAAAAATAATTTGAATGTATTCATATTTACAATAATATATACACACAAGTAATACATACAAACACATTCAACTATATCTATTAGTATTAGCTTACAGGGGCTAAAAAATGCCACGTTGTTTTCTGGCTCAAGAGGTTCTGCTATCAAAATTTTTTGCCACATATTTGCGAGAGGTGATGACATTGTCTTGTCTGCCTCAATAAAAAAAAAAAATGGCTTTGGAACATTTTTTTCAGAGCTTATCTTTCACTCTAATGAGAATCTATATTCTTTAAAGTGGTTCCAAAACCCAAAGGTGAGAGAGAGAACGCGCGAGAGAGAGAACGTGCGCGAGAGATAGAGAGGGAACGAGAGAGAGAGAGGGAACGGAGAGAGACGGGAGAGAGAGGGAGAGAGAGAGGGAACGAGAGAGAGAGAGGGAACGAGGAGAGAGAGGGAACGAGAGAGAAGAGGGAAGAGAGAGAGAGAGGGAACGAGAGAGAGAGAGGAGAATGAGAGAGAGAGAGGGAACGAGAGAGAGGGAACGAGAGAGAGAGGGAACGAGAGAGAGGGAACGAGAGAGAGAGAGAGGGAACGAGAGAGAGAGAAGAAGAGAGAGAGAGAACGAAGAGAGAGAGAGGGAACGAGAGAGAGAGAGGGAACGAGAAGAGAGAGAGGGAGACGAGAGAGAGAAGAGAGAGAGAGAGAACGAGAGAGAGAACGAGAGAGAGAGAGAGAGAGAACGAGAAAGAGAGAGAGAGAGAGAAGAGAAGAGAAGAGAGATGAGAAGAGAGAGAGAGAAAAGAGAGAGAGAACGAGAGAGAGAAACGAGAGAGAGAACGCGAAAGAAGAGAGAGAGAGAGAGAGAGAGAGAGAGAGAGAGAGAGAAAGAAATGAGAGAGGAAACGAACGAGAGAGAGACGCGAGAACGAGAGAGAGAGAGAGAGAGAGAGAGAGAGGAGAGAGAGAGAACGAGAACGAGAGAGAGAGAGAACGAGAGAGAGAGAAGAAGAGAGAGAGAGAGAGAGAGAGAGAGAGAGAGAGAGAGAGAGGGAGAGAGAAGAGAGAGAGAGAGAGAGGAGGAGAAGAGAGAAGAAGAGAGAACTAGAAAGAGAGACCTAGAGAGAGCGGGGAGAGCAAGAGAGAGAGAGAGACGAGAGAGAGAGAGAGAGACTAGAGGGGAGAGAGACCTAGAGAGAGGGGGGAGGAGAGCAAGAGAGAGAGAGATAGGGGAGAACGAGCGAGAGAGGGCGAGAGGGAGGGAGAGAGAGCAAACGAGAGAGAGAGAGAACAACAGCATCACTGATGAAATCGCACTGCAATACAGATGAATCTAGTAACCTAGCCTAAATTGGAACTACAAAAGAGAAGACTCAAAGCACAGTACGGTGATGAGACGCTCAGCTGCATTAAGACATTTGAATGGTGTAAATGTTTTAAAGATGGCCGTATGTCTATCAGTAATGATCCTGGACATGGTGGTTCCCAGTCCACAACAGTCATTCCTGTGAACATTCAGTGCGTGGAATGCCTGATCCTGGATAATCGACACATTACCTGTCCTGAAATTGCACAAGAGACAAATCTTTCTGTGGGAACGGTGAACACAATGATGACAGAGTGAAGAAGGCTGCCCTAGGATGGATCAGGTGTATTGATAAATCTTTCTGTTCATCCCTAGTTACAATGATCTCCGAAATCTTCAGGTCAGCATAGAACGTTTCGGCAGAGAGTTTCCAGATATGATGATGGCAGCTCCATGTGATCTGGTATTCTTTGTTCTCCGTATTGTTTGGCAGCCCTTCGTGACACCTTAGGTCAGCGTAAACGTTTCAGTGAGCTACTTACCTGTGGTGATTAGGATGAGTACAGTGAGTGCTCCCATTCCTGCAGAGTGGAGAATCTTCCACAGAGATTGTTCTCATTCTGCAAACACAATTTTCTATTCATGTATATATATATTGTATATACTGTACATGTTTTCACCTTCCTTGTTCTTTTTTGTGGTTCATAAAGTTTTTATTTGTTTTACAAGAGCAGAGCACTTGACATATTTACATCATTCTTTTTTTATTTGACAACTTATAGTTTCTTCACCAATGATGAGTGTTTGTTTCAGTTTATGTTAGTTGTTATTTTTTAGCACTGAGAGAGTAGTGCGGTGATTTTTTTTCACTTAATTATCAATTATGAGTGGGTAGGCAGAAGAAAACATAGGTAGGTTTAAGAGAGGGAGGAGGGGAAAGGTACAAAGTACAAAAAAGACAGTTTTCTGTTTATGGATTTTTAGTTGCCTTAAATTTTTTTTAGTTATTAAAGTTTTTAAAAAGTTTAGAGCAGAAAAAAAAATGTGTCGTATGCAAATCATTCTCTTTCTCTTTTTCTCAATATGTATACCTTTTACTTTTGTAAAACAGCCCTGAGTCAATAAACAAGCCAAGACACAGGTTATGGGAAGGAGGAGAGGAAAGGTACAAAGTAAAACTTGGGAAAAAAGTATCCAACACATTTTGAGGGTTTTTTTTCCTCTCTGTGTTTTTATCGTTTTGTATTGTGCTAACTATGAAGTCATGAGGAGTGCCAGGTTTTTGGAAAATTATTTTCACTATACCTACCAACATGTTTCTTTCCTGGTTACTCCTCGTTGTAATTTTTTTAAATTAAGGATATTTAAAAATCTGTGTACCCCCTAGTCATTCACATAGGGGTCTTCCAGATACCAATAAGATCCCCAATAAGCCCCCTACACACAAATCCTCACAACTACCAGGCTAGGATTGAGGGGATAAGGCCCTTGTTTTCATCAACATGGTCCCACAGGTCTGTCCCACTAATAAAAAGTTTCAAAAACAAACAATTTTGGTGTCACATTTTAAACTAAACATGTGTAGTGTAAATAAATTAGCAGTTTTATAAGGTTTGCTCACATTTTCAGCAATCTGGTGCAAACATTCTGGGACAGGACACAAAGCTGTAGTTTAAACTTGGACTTTAGCTTTGCCATCAGTCTTGCAGAGTGGTACCGGCTCTGGACTGAAATGGATTAAACAGATTTCACTGCACACTGTGAGCTTCTCACCATGTGCATTAGAAGCTGCAGCAAATCAGAAAGAGCCCACCTCCTAAATTCCTGACCAGGGGACATCCAGTATCGTATCCCATGTTACTCAGGAATGTCCCCGTTCCAGCCCTTGAATTAATTGGATTTCAGTTCTTTAAATCATGGAGGCTCACCACCACACTAATGTATCATAGAGTAGATATAGTAGATATTCCTTGAGACTGGAAGGTTATTTCAAGGGTTCCTCTGTGCTGAAAAGATTGAAAAAGGCTGGTGAAGACTTTTTGGTATGTTACTTACCTGTGGCAATGAGTAGTATTAGTACACTGAATGCTCCCATTTCTGCAAAGATATTCCACAGAGATTTCTTTCTCACTTTGAAAAGAACATCATTTTTTATTCACATATATAAACCCCTTTGGCTTACTCGTTCTTTTTTTTTTTGTGTGTTCCATAAAGTTTTTATATATTTTACAAGAGCAAGACACATGACGTACTGTATATACATCATTCACGTTGCCCTCTTTTTTTATGTGATAAATTATCGTTTAAACAAAAAAAAAACTTAGGTAGGTTTATGAGAGGGGAAGGGAAAGGTACAAAGTACCAAAAAGGTCCCTTGCAGAAGTTCTCTTTATGGTTTTATAGCTTAAAGAGAACTTTTGCTTATTAAAGTTTTTAAATAGTTTTACGAGAGGCAGAAAACTGTGGTCTATGTCAGCCATTCTGTCTCTCCTGTACCTTAAAGTTTCTAAAAAAGTTTTGAGTCAATAGACAAGACAGGACCAGGGGCGGACTGACAACTCATGGGGCCCCGGGCAATAGGGGATCATGGGGCCCCTGTGCCCTTTCCCAAACTCAAAAAAGCCTATGAAAAAGGAACCGGGGCATCTCATGGGGCCCCCTACTGACCCCGGGCCCTTGGGCAGCGCCCGAGTTTCCAAATTGTCAGTCCGCCCCTGGACAGGACACAGGTAGGGTTAGGAGAGGGAGGAGGGGAAAGGTACAAATTACACTTAGAAAAAATGCCGCTGACATTGTTCTCCTTATGGTTTTCCAGTGTTCGGCAGATGACACCTGTTGTCAGGAATGGACTTGCCAGTGGTAGTGGGACTCACCTGCCTTGTGGGCTGCAGTACCAGGGCTGCTGGCCAGCGGGTGCTCTCAGCAACCAGGGGCTCACTCCTGCAATGAGCCATCACCTGAGGCTAATTACAGCAGGTGTATTTAAGGAATGGCCAGGCCTATGATCAGGGCCTTGGTGTATGTTTCCCATGAGCCCCTGTACCTGCATCCTGTCTGCTTCCTGCCTGATCCTGATTCTGCTTTAATCCTGACTCTGCATGAACTCTGCCTGTCCTGACCTCGGCTATTCCTGACTACGCTTCTGCCTGCTCCTTGTACCTTGCCTGCCCGCTTGCTACCGACCCGGCCTGCCCGACTACGTTTAGTATTGTTCTTATTGTTATCTGTTGGAGGTTTGGTTGCACTGTGTTTATGTTTTAGTCTTGCACTGCGTTTATGTATTGTTTAGTCCTTAATAAATTGTATTGTTTATACTATACCTGGAGCCTGTGTTTCCCTGTGTCAGTCCACACATTTCTGGTCATACCCGGATCCCTAACACCTGTATACAACGGGCAAAGGGTTCCTTGTTGTGTTGTATCTGTCAGTTCCAGGAAATATCTGGAAATAGTGTATGGTTCAGTCTTTGGAAAGGTGATAACATTATTCTTCTGTTTGTTTGAAGTGGAGCCAGGCATTACTGATTTTATAATATTTTATTGTATGGATCTTTGTAAAATGAGAGAGTCCCTGAATCGGTCCAACCTACTATGACAAACCTTTCCTTTATCAATGGTGGAAAGGGTGAACACCACCGCTTTGGCATGAGATAGTTACATAGTTAGTCTGGTTGACAAAAAAACACAAGTCCATCCAGTTCACACAATGAAAGGGAAAAAAATATAC